AATAAATCAAAATCATACTTTTTTATCTGCCATGGGAAATAATAGGCAATAGTGAAAATTAGAAGATTTGTTGTGGTAGTGGTCGCTATATATTTTTTAAACTCCCTCAATAATTCCAGGACGATTGTCAGTGATCAACGTTAAACATTAACAAATATATACCTTAGAAATGGTTGTATACATATAAGTACAAACGTGTGTGATTGGCATGACTGGCATTGCCACACAGTCTACCTAGTCATTCCCCTTCCACAGTGATGGTTAGCAAAGTGTTGGCAGTTGGAGTTCACATGCCAACTTTTTCGTTGCCTTCATCTGTTCTGCTTTCACATAAGACTGACTCCCAAGTGATATGGGAGAAATTTAATTTGTTTGTAGCAACAATTTGTCGCTGTCTATGCAATGTTGCTGTGGTTAACAAGCACCTGCTGTTAGCATATTTTTCGAGGTATGTTTTGCGAACATGCAACCGTCTTCACCTTTTCCACATACCTTGGCTTGACTACATGTTGCGTTTGCGGTTAACATGTTCGCTATCATCTAGCTAAGGTTCCGCAAGCCAGAAGTAGCAGTATTGTCCTGAGACATGATTCCTTTGTTCGCATGTACAAAGAACCACGAATATCATCAATGTTGAAAGAATTCTCTGCTTAATTATTTAACACGGCGATTCTACGGCTAAATGTGTGTTCGTTGCTGCCACATATTGAAAGTTATAAATCAGCGAGTATTTTCATTAGAACTGGCATATCTGACGAAAAAAATGTAATTGATGTTGGCGTATCCTTGGCACCATTGTTATGGTTCAAAGAAGCCTTGTTGAAATCAATCCACCAGTTGTGCCTTCAACACATCGAATAATGGGCGTAGCACTTTACAAAGTGTCATTACAACACACCGCCACGTAGGGCAATGTTGAGTAGGTGCAAAAAATGAGTTTTATATGGATTCCTCGAAGAACGCCATTGCAAATGGACAAACAATAAACGACAATAAAATCCAGACATCTATAGTAAGTTAAGTATCGCCCGTATCCAAGAATTGTCCAATGAAATAAAAGTAAAGCGGAAAATGATGGGTTAGGGTATGTCCACAAAGCTCCCGGGAAGTAAGAACAGCAAGGCGAATTATGAAAAACTCTAAAAGTGGATGTGGGCATCAACTTTCGGGCCATGCGATAGGTGATATTATTGTTACTGGTGGTCCTACTTAGCTAGATACGAGGTTCGAAAAAAGCGAAAAAATATTCCACCATTAAATTCACAGAAACAGAGAAACGAAGCAACAACAAATAAGACAATTATGAGTAGGTTTTTATTGGAATGAAAGTGAGCGAGTGGATAAAAAATGACGACCAGTATGAGTTCTGTACAAAAGGAAGGAAGGAAGGAAATGGCATTGAAGAAGCATTTCCGCTTCCGTCGTATTTGCTATTGCCCCATCGTTGCGCACAGCACTTGTAGTTGAGCGACAAACGTAGCTTCAACAGTAGTTGAGGTCATGTACGTAAAAAAAGTAAAGAAAAAAAAACAACACAATCACACATATACAAGTACATACATACACGTACAAACTAAACCAAACTGGTAAATAATAAAATTTACTTTAGTAACTCATCTCCCTACCTCGTTTTTTTCTCTCTTTTTTTTTTTTGATAAACTCAATGTCCTACATACACACAAATGCACAAATACTGCCAATAAAAACCGAATATTCTCTTTATGGACATGAAATTTAATCAGTGCATATGTTTGAATGTTCAGAATTATTCCATTACCTTCGGATAGCAAATATTTTGCAAAGACTCTAAACATGAACATGACTAACTCGCCGATACACGCTGTAAATGCAGCACTTTTTGTAAAAATAAAAAAAATAAACAACAACAAACAAACAGCAGCCATGTTACGTGTCGCAATAGCCATTAGCCAAAACACTTAGCTAAGCAAAATGTAAATCAAACAAAAACCACAATTACGAGCGAAATAGTAATGTCACTTAGTTGCAAGTACGAAATGTTTTTGTTTTGTTCTAAACTAACCAAAAAATTTTACAACCATTTCTCTAGTCATAAATAAGCTAATATCTGTAAATTTTATGCAACAATAGTTTGACAACTGTGCATGTGTTTGGCATATGTGAAGTAAACTTTATTTATTATATTATGAAAATAAATTTATTGCAATTAGTTTCGATGTATGGTGGTTGTATTTGTATGCGACTGTTGCCGCATAAACATAATTATTAAAGAGAAATCCTACCTGGTTGGAAATAATACAAAATCGATCAAAATAATTTATACGGGTTTCTTAGGTATTGCGAAGATTTGTTGCGAAGATCATTTGTTTTATTGAAACTATATATAGAAAAGAGGCCGATATTCAATACACCTCATTTAGAATATTACTTTTAAATAGAGAAAACATTTTTTTGGATTCCTTTCTTCTCCGACTCAATATGATCTAAACTATTTTTTCCAATATATTTATTTGAATCACGTTTTTCTACATATATAATTATGGCTTGTGCAACGAACCAATTTTCCTCAAAAACTTATTGATTTGTATTGAACAAGATTTGAATCAACTTTTTAAGCCGAACAGTAATCTTAAAATGTCTTTCAAAACAATCGAATCGTATTTACATTGCGATTACTTTCAAATCAAATTAAACACCTTAAGCCCAACGATAATACTTACAAATTGAAAATATCTATTCCTGGTCCCCATGGCTATTACCTATAGCTAAACAATTTATGAGGCATAAAACTATATCGAGATTATAATTTCCCTATATGTTCATAAATAATGTAATACACATTATTATCTATTAATTGCACAAACTTTAACAGCCCTTGGATGTTGTGGAATATTTTACACAACAACAGCCGGTATTTATAATTTCAAATTTGATTACACCCCAAAGTGTGATAATAAATATTTTAAAAATTATGAAAACGTATTAACGATGCGATTTATAATTAAATTTCAACCAATTATTCCACCATAAACACAAATATTTTGTGAAGCAAAAAAAAAAATGTTTTTGCAAAATTGGCCATACATTTTGGTCTGTATTAATAGATTATTGAAAAATAGGGAAAAACAAATATACAACAGTTGCAATGTTCTCTCAGTTCCACAACAAAATATTTGCTTAACTCATCGTGGATAACATGTGTGTGTGTGCGTTTTATATTACAAACGTATCTGCATACACACCCAGTTTTCCATGGTACGTCGCCATTGAAATGCATTCAATTGTGTAATTCATATAAATTTTAAATCATTTATGCGGTACGGTACTTCCACTTTGTAGGGATAATATTGCCAATCTGGCGAATGGTTATCTTATTAGAGTTACCTTCTTTTGGGCTTGGATTTCCGTTTCGTTTCATTGGGGTCGGTGTTCATTTGAAAAACGTTAACATTTAATTGCAGTCATGGCAAATTATAGTTTTATTCAATTGCTTGGCAACAAATGCGACTGGGAGGAGGACCACGAAGACCAAGACCAAGACGAGGACGGTGAAAACGACGTCGTCAGCGACGGTCGCTGCAATTACGACTACAATGTCATTAAGAATTGCAAGACATTTTCTCCCTGGGTATTCTTCAATTGCATAGAGTGGCTCTTGCTGTGATTCCATCGCTTAGGTTTATTGTGCTGCAGGGATATTCGATTCTTTGTCCTTCAACAACGGCAAATGAATTCTGCTGCTTCTTTGAGGGCGTTGTTAGAGCGAAACTAAAATTTCATTAACTCGTCCTCTGAGCCAAAGAAAATAATTACGTGTTTTTTGCGTCTATTTATTCTGTCCCTTTGCCATTTTATCCTTCGACTGCTACTATAGCTGAGTGAAATTTTGCGCTTCATTTTAAAATGATTCTTACCGTAGTTTGCTGCTGGCAATAAAACGTTAAAGCAGGAAAAAACAATGTGGTTTTATAATTAATGCATTTACTTTCAATTCTCGATAGCAAATAGCAGCATCCACCGCTTTAAACGGGTTGGTTATAATAGAGGTGTACGTCATTGTAGGTAATCGGTTATTCGAGTATATTTAAATTCAGTTTAGGAAACTTGTAGACATTTGGATCAGCGATGAAAAGAAGAAAGGTCACTATTATTTTTACCTTGAGATGAGAAATAATAATACGATTACTTACAAACCAGAAGACAACTAATACACCTTTTACACTAAATAGAGTTTTTCAGGCCTAAGTGTTTTGAAAAAAAAAAAATAATATTAAAAGAATAGAAAGAAGAAATAAAGAGTTGCATATGTTTTGACCCAGCTAAAATCGAAATGTCCATTTTATCAATAAGTTTTACAGCAAAATACCAAAAATTTTAGGGAAATATTACAATTACTGTTTCAATTAAACCTAAAACGTTTAAAAAAGTTCACCTATTTTTAAACTCCAAATAAAGGGATTACTACATATTTCCATATAGTCAATTTCAGTGAAATGTGTTTTGACCACCACTGTATGTATACAGGCGATATTCTCTATAATGACTTCAATAAATAAAATTTTTCCATGAAATGTAGGTGAAATTTCTCATACAGAATAACAATTCTTCTGTACACATAAGATTTTTGAAGTGTTAGAACATTTTTTTTCTTTCTTTATGAAGTACTGATTACTTAAAATATGTATCTGTTCAATTATTCTGTTTGTCGCAAATTCAATGTCTGTAACATTTAAGAACAACTCGGTTGCTATTTAACCCTATTGCAATCGTATACGTTTTTAATGTACTTCGTTATGTTACTGTCGTAATGGAATCTGTTTGCCACATTTAATTGAAGCATTTGTGGCTATGGGTGAAATGGTCTGATTGCGTCCATAAAATGCTTATTAAATTCTCAATTATTTCATGTCCACATTATCTGTACTAAGCATAAGAGTAGTTGTTATGTATGTATGTCTGTCTGTCTGTATACGTTTATAATTACATTTCGCTTTTTTTCTTGTTTACTTTCTGTTTTACAGTTAATGCACGAACATTGCCACATCCCCGTCACAATAATGGGGCCAACATTATGGATCACCGAGCACGAGATGATCAGATGCTAATTAACAAGGCTGTTTATATTCCGTCCCCGTCGCCAGCACCGCCACCGGATGGCTCCTACTACAACATGAACAGTGACAGATATCTCTCGTACCCGCCAATGGTAAGTAGCCCTCACTAGAGACGACGCGACAGCAGTAGCATTGCTGTATAATGACCTCGACGCAACATTACAACGCCATTGACACTTCCAAGTCGGGGCGATAAAAGGAACAACCGACACAGAGAATATTGGAGCAAATTATGCATTGCATTGAGCACTGCTACAATTTATAGAATTCTTTAGTTTTCCTTACATCCCTGAAGATGCTACAGCTAGGCCAGGGACACAACTGATGGTTGGGAGAGCCAACCCATCAACCAAGCAAACACCCTAGCACAAGTGAAACTATGCAAATTAATTATGAACATTTCTCAATGAAATTAATTTTCATTTTAAACTTTTCGCTCAATGGTTGTGGTAGCAACAAATTGCAAACTGTGTCAGGGTATGCGCCTCCGCCGCTCTGCCCCACAAACTAACAACTCAATCAGCAGCTACCCAGCGCTGTTCCAATGCACTGATATTGTATTGCAGTGCGCTGCCATAGACGCAAATGCAACAGCTGTAACCGTAGATTCACACCAGCTGCTGCGATGCCGCTGCTACAGCCTTCGCCGTTAGAACAGCGCCATTTCAAGTTAAAATTAATAAAATTATACAAAGAAAGCGGAATTTAATTTATGCCAAAACTTTGCAATAGTTCACCCTCATTACGTGGCAAGAAGCTCAAGCTGTTGAAGTTGCTTTCGACAAATCGGCAGCAGCTTCAATTGTTTAGTCCAGCATCGGCAAAGAAGTGCTGGCGCACGAAGAATTGCATTACAGAGGCAAAGAGCAATTTCCAAATGAGCTAGCTGCACACTTTAACAACAACAAAAAAGTGGTTAACTAATTGTTCGATATAATCCAAAACCATGATTAACAATATATAAAATAACAACGTACATTGACTCCAGGCCCAGTGGGGGTGGAGACGGGCCAAGAGCTTGTTGCATGAGATGTATAGAGTCCTTCGAGATAATAAAATCAAATTGTTGAAAATGTTTCAACGGGGGAAATGTGATGAGCATCAAAGTTTTTTTTATGGCCGCACTGCAGCAATATTGGTGGCAGGGTAATTGTTCTGCCATTGCCAGTCAATGATGTTGAAACTTCTGTTCAGAGCTTTTTTTCCACTTCAATTTGGATGATTTTAATTTGCATGAGTTTTGTAATTGGATTCGTTTTTCGTCGGATAGAAAAGTACTTTATGGTATTTTCAACACACACCCACACACATGCACTCACAAAAAAGTGCACACACAGAAAGAAAAATAATGCCAACAATTAACGCGCAGTAGCGTATCATTTGCGATTGTCTGTACGCCAAACGACAAAACAAAACGAAAAAAATATTTTCAACTTTATGTACCCGACGATGAAAATTGCAGAATTCGTATGGATAAAACAATAACAATTTTAAAATTGAAATGTTAATTTTTATCAAAATGGTTCAATGAAAATCTAAATATGCAAACATGTCCATCTTATAAATGTCAAACTGAATATTTTATTTAAAATGTGTTAATCGTAATTTTGTTCACTTTTACACTTCAATAGCTTTTTGTGGAAATTCTAGAAATCTGTTCCACAGACATAGTTCTAGAAAAAAGTATTCGGATTTGCAAAGTTTGTCTAAAGTACAATATATTTCAGTCTTACGTTAGAATATAATTATACTCAATAGCATGAATGAAATTTGTTGGTCAAAATGTTGACAAATTATAAATCTAATAAAATACAAAATGAGTCTCACCGCGTGAAAATTTATATTTAAATCCTGGGGTCGGAAATTCCTTTTGGGAATTAAAACCTTCGGCTAGTATTTTTGAAAACTAAAACGCAAATTCGACCTGGGCCAAGTTCTTGGGTAATGACTTTATACATTTTTTGATAACCAAATATTCAACGCAAAATTTGATTTAAGATATAAATTGTGTAATTCCATCGTCATTTTCCACCTTTGCACGATCCTTGCTCAAAATAACTTTATATTTATGCTTATTAAACAAATGTCGTATAAATTGTGTATCTCTAAGAACTGCAGAAGAATGTACAAAATACCTTCAAATTGTAGAATATATGTGTACTACATATGTAATAGCTTCAGATTGTATGTATGTCAGCAAATATTTACTCACATTCATCTCACATGCTTTTCACCTTCGGAACCTCTCTGCTACACATACCCTACATATTTGGTTAAAATTGACTATAGCGAATTTCGTCTATTTTATTTCATACGGTAAATTTTTGATTAATATGTGATATATAACTAAAGATTTAAAAAGCAGCATACATTCCTAGACAAAAGTTTCGAAGTGTAAATAATGATAACAATAATATCTACAAGAAGCGAATATGCAATTTTATTCGCTTCCTGTTTGAAAAGTCGTTCCAATACCATGATGCATACAACTGACATAATTGCCTAACACTCAAAATATATAATTTTTTCCCTGTTTTTACAAAATTCTTGATATTTTATTCCATGTATGGATGCTTCTCTTCTTCTTATTCTTCTTTATTATTTCATACAATTGCAATATTCAATTCGTTGTCACACTAAAAACAAACAACTAATTAGAAGCAATGCAATGTTTGTTCAACTAAAGTTAAACATACATGCATATGTATGTATGTTTGTATATGTATTTATGAAATTATTTCATTAGATGTACAATGGACAGAGCACCCATCCTGTTTACATTTGTTTGTATTCAAAACTTCTCAAGCATATCCGTCATCGTGTATAGCTGGATGGTGTTTCCGCAGCATGATTAACTCGCGTTGCTTTAGCAGTAGCACTACCTCGGGCTTTGTGAAGACAAACAACTACTTTAAGTTGTTAGTCTCGGCGGAAATCTTTGTCTAATCCCGACTCACTAGTTTGTATTCGCCATACTGGTGTTGTGACTCGTTCGTCTACTTCAGTATTTTCACAAACGTTCAGTTGAATCACAAACCGCTAAGAATATCCCCTTGTTCGCACTTGAGAAGTGTATATCCATGTGTGTGTGTGTGTTGTGTGCGAGGGTATGCACTGTTTCATAATCGGCATGAATGAGAAATAAAGAACTTTTGACTTTTCCCCAACTTTGAAAGCTAACAAGTCTAATTAACATAACAAAGCCAAAACTGTGGAGTCGTTGTTGTTGCTTAAGAAGATGTGAAGACTGGTGTTGGTGGAGGTGGTGGCAAATTAATGATTGCAACTGCAACCAGGCAGATTAATGTATGCGCATGCCGACAAGTTGCGGGTGTGGGGCTGGTTGTGTCCAGCTTAAGAGCCATGTTATGTTGGGGTTTGGGTTGACCTAAAAACTGTGTTGATTTCTATTTCTCCTCCTTGTGAAATAATGTTGGCTGGCTGGTTGGTTGGCTAAGAAACTTCTGCCATATCCCAAAGCAATTGAAACAAACTCCTTTTACTACAAATTCAAGTTGCATAAATTTATTAAGAATTATAACGACAATCTTTATTTCAATGAACTCAACATGTTTAGTCATAAATTATAAAATGAAACTGATTTAAATTTTTTATTTCTTTATTTGGGTGTAGTAAATAACGAAGAAATCCAATAAAATATGAACACAAGAAAAACTGAAATGATGTTGGTGATTAACAGTGGGATGAGCATGGGGAGGAAAAGAATCCCCAAAACACAAATAAATAAAAATAAACTCATCATTTCAATCCTTTTGTTGCGATAGACGTTCAAAAATTTCCCAAAGAGATGGGATGAGATGGGTGATCACAAAAAAAAACTTAATAAAAAATTCAATTTCATTTTTTGAGGGGCTTTTTGTTGTTTGGTCAAATCCATTGTGGCTTAGAATTGTTGAACCTTTTGTTGCACGACGACTTGTGTTCCCATTGTGTTAGTACATGTGTACGTTTGTTTATATAGAGTGTTTGTTCATAAATACAAATAAAACCAGTAGCAGACATATATTATGACTATTGTTTGCTGTTGGTCTCTTGTTTTCTTAGGGTGGTCCCTTACTAAAGAATAAACACACATACGCACACACAATACAAAAATTGAATTATTTGATAAACATCATTTGGTGAAAATTACGGCTGCCCTTTTCAATTCATTTTGTCCTTTTGAGACAGCCCGACGAGAATCCTTTTCGTGCAAATATCATTCATCCAAATCGAAGCTATTCGTACATTTTGCAAAACACAAGCCCGGTCATAGCGGACAATATGCTGTTATTGGTAAAGTAATAAATATGATGACGTATTTTTTAAGGCACAATTCCCTGACGTATAGTTGTAGATGTTCTTGATCCGAATATTTGGGGCTTAACGGAAAAATATAAAGATTTCTTTTTGTTAAAAACTAATTCAAATATTTGACACATTTAAAACTCAGAACTTAAGGGGACCCCCACCCCCCATTCTCGGGGTCAAATTTTTTTTGATTTAATTCGAATCTACACTAATTCAAGAATGTCCGTACAAAATTTCAAGTAAAAATCTCAAGAACTCTTGAAGATATTGCCGATTTATTGTGTCAGCATCAAGTGACGGCTAAAGGGCTTCTCAAACTTTAAACGCGTTTTTCTCTTTTGTGAATGGCGGGCACGATAACTCAAAAACTAATAACCCAATCGATTCCAATTTTTTATACGTTTCTCTGTGAGTGTATAGCTATCGTATGAACTATGATAAAGCCAATCGGTGAAGATCTTCCTTATTTTTTAACTTGGTTTTTGGTCAAAAATCGGCGATTTTCGAAAAATATTTTTTCAAAGGTCCGCTATGTTGTTAATTTTAGAGAGAAGTCAATAATCCTAGTTCATACGAGAGCTAGACATGTACTCTTTCTAACACCGTTGGAATTTTCGGATTTCGGATTCCAGTGAGGCGTTATCATGCCCGACATCAAAAATAAGGAATTTTCTTTGATCACAAAAAACAACAACAAAACAATTACAAAATTTTTTTTTTAAATAATTTTTCCTCTCTTTTAAATCTTCAAATATATATGTGCAAAGTTACAAACCTTAAA